AAAAATATGAAGCTGAAATAAAAATAATATATGCGGAGCACGAACAAAGAATGGAGCTATTAGAAGATAGTAACAACCTATCAACGAAGTTGATGAAAGAAAAACATGATTTGGAAATGAAAATTTTAGCAGTAGATTTGGAAAGAAAGAAAAAGGATCTGGAAGGGTGAAATAAAAAATATATATATGTAAAATTATAAACGTATTTATTAAACTACAATAAACTGAAGTAATTATCTATTAAACATTTTCTGGTAACATTATTTATTGTATGACTTTCAGCATTGCGATTATTGGGTATATTAATCACATTGTTTACAACATCTTCAATTTCATTTCAAAGTGGCGGAGCCATTATATCGCGAGTATTGCAGCAGATGTTGTGTAATACTGCTGTTGCAACAATAATGCTTTGGGTTTTTTCTAGATGCACGCGCAAGCCCAGCGATAATACCGAAAACCTACTTTTCCAGACCACAATATGAGCGCTAGATACAATTCCGAGTTCTTATATGAGACTCGTTAAAAAGATTTTCGGCACTCGTATTGACATGCATTAGTGGCGTAATCACGAAGTGGTTATTTTCATAACCACTGACTGCAACTACTATTCCAGAACCAAATTCTCCAGATTCTAATCGACAATGAATCCGAGAGTTACGGAAAATAGTAGCATCATGAGTGGATCCAGGCCACCGTGCAACGATGTCTCCGATGCGGAGATTACTATCACCTAACGTCTGGACGTTGATGGAAAATATACCCTTTCTATTACGAAATAGCTCTGCATCTTCTCCACCTGTAAATAAGGTATATAAAAAATTGTTAAGTGAAGTATTTTTTGGACTTTCTTTAGCTACAGAAATTATTTTTACATGAGTGCAATCATTTGCTGCGATCACTCCAGGAAATATAGCTAATTTAAAAAAGTCTCTCTGGGACTTTTTCAGGTCTCTTTCCGTTTGTGGCATATAAATGTGATGGTCTTTAATTTGGGCTATGTGGTGCGAAACTACTGTTATAACTCTTGATGCCGCACTTTTAGATACTCCAAATAACAATATACAATTCCCACGTCAGCCGGTTCTGCGTTACCGGAATTGACTCGGATTTCATCCGACCAAGGGCTGTTCTTTCGGCGATCTAACCCCGTTTGGACCGGTACATGTTAATTTGTGTGTGTTGTCACTGGAGCAACGCCTTGCAGTATAGTTGCTCCGTATCCTACTGACTCGTGCTGGCATTGAGTCCAACCCGGGCCGGAGGAATTCTTCTGCTGCGTTTGCGCGAAAAGGCTCCATYYAAACTCCACCTCGGTCAGGTGCAACACATGCAATGGATGGAGCCATCTTAAGACCTGCWCAGKCCTTAAGACCCATAGGGAGTGGACCACGCGTTACGTGGCCCCATGTTGCCAACGCAATACTGCGATGCTAGCCTCTACGGCTGTGCAATCTGCACATAGTTCGCGCGCGGCGCCGCCACCCACCTTGAGTGGCCAACAGAGGACATGCACGGTCCCCCGGAGCTCAACTAGGCAACATAGCTCCCAATCTGGGTTGTCCCGGCGGGTTCTGCAGCTGCAACCAATACCACCCACACGTCCCTCCCTCAACCCCAGAATCACTCACGGACACCCGCGACAAACCCGGCTACTTCAATTCAACTGCAACGGACTCCAGAGCAAGATCGAGGAGATAGTTGCACTTATGAATCGGGAGCGCGTATCGATAGCTGCGGTCCAAGAAACCAAACTAAACAGCCGCYCAGATCTTCTGAGTTGTGCAGGTTTCAACGTTATACGTAAAGATCGCGAGTGAGATAACGGTGGTGGCCTAGCCTTCATATTGCACAACACCGTGCAGTATCGTCTAATCGATGAAGACATCGACCGCAGGGATATTACCCTAGAATGTCAGGGCATAGCTGTCCGGTCAGGCGATGTCGAGCTCGAAGTATTTAATATATACATCCCCCCAGTTACATGTTGCCCTACAGGATATCACCCGAATATAGGTGTGCTACTTCGTGGTGAAAACCGTTTGGTGCTAGGCGACTTTAACGCGAACCACGACCTTTGGCATTCCTCTCTGTCAAATGATCGTAGGGGGATGGAGCTGGTGGAACAGATTGACGATTCGACATTCTGCACAATGAATCACGAAGTCCCCAACAGAGTTATGGGCACTTGTAGTAGCTCGCCCGGTATTACAATCGCTAGCGATGGTCTGATAAATAGCATAACCTGGCGACCTATGCTAAATCTCGCATCAGACCATCTGCCTATAATTATCTCGCTCGAAAAACCTGCCGATTTCGTTTCTGTGGACAACCGCACCTTCGTTAACCTTAACAAGGCTAACTCTGTCGGCTTCACAGAATTTACTGAGAGCACCTTCAACGCTCTACCCATTCCTACGGACGTATGTGTTTGCGAACGTCAATTCCGCAAGGTGATCGCAGCAGCTACTGCTCGCTTCATACCAACTGGACGAATAGCGGAAACCCGTCCCAAGTTCCCAGCCGAAGTAGCCGTTTTAGCTAATGAGCGCGACACCTTACACCATGCCGATCTCGGGGATCCCCGAATAAGGGATCTCAATTTGGAGACTCGGCGTTTGGTAAACCAGCATAAGCGGACGAAATGGATAGATCACCTGAAGTCCTGCAACCTCTCCACCGGTGTGAGTAAGCTTTGGACTACTGTCAAAGCTTTGTCTGACCCGAAGAGTTACGACGACCGAGTTGAAGTTCAATTCAATGGTCATGCCTCTTCGGACCSGAAGAAGTGCGCGAGCTATTTTAGCCGGCAGTTTACACYGCACCCTTCGGTAGACAAAGCCAAACGATGTGTTAACCGACGGCTGCGCAAAATGCCAAACGACTTCGCGCCACTTACTTGATGAAATCAACATGTTAATGCCAAATCATCTAGGCTCGACGGGAGAAAGATATCTCAACAAGGTCCTCAACCTGTCGCTGACCACTCTTCAAATACCCGATGTGTGGAAAGTCGGAAGAGTGGCCCCACTACTGAAACCTGGGAAACCCGCCAACAATGAGGAATCTTATCGTACGATAACTCTCCTCTCCCCAGTAGTGAAGACACTTGAAGCCTTGTTACTCCCGACCTTCACTCACCACCTGAACCTAGCCAGCCACCAGCTTGGACTCCGTAAAATGCACAGTACCACCACAGCACTTAGCGTCATGAACGCTCAGATAGTTCGTGGCCTCAACCAGAAACCACCCTGTGAGTGAACGATCCTCGTAGCGTTGGATCTGTCAAAAGCTTTTGACACGATCAACCACACAACGCTACTGCAGGACATTGAGAAAACCACGCTTCCTCCAGGGCTCAAGAGGTGGACCATGAACTATCTGAACGGTCGTCAGTCATCCGTATTATTTTGAGGTGCAACATCTAAACTGAGAAGAATTAAACAGAGGGTTCCGCAGGGTGGTGTCCTCTCCCCGCTACTGTTTAACTTTTACGGCTGGCCTCACCTTAACTATGCAGCACCCATATGGTCGCCTGCCAGAATACAGTACTCCGGACCACGACGGGATGCGTCTTGATGTCTCCCATCCAACATCTACATAGTGAGACGCTTATGCTCCCAGTTAAGGAGCATAATGATGACTGCAAGGATGATTTCTACGAAAACATCCTAGCAGGAACTGCTTGGAGCGGAACCGCCTCCTTGGAGCATCAAGAGGTCATACCTTGATCACGTCGACGACATCGAACAATACGCCGACAGGACCTCGGACGCAACAGACTTCCGACAGGCACTGACCGCAATTCACAGTGGAACCATCAATACATTCACCGACTCCCACCCCGTGAATGGCGTACTTGGAGTCAAATCACCACCCATAGCAGACGAAGAGSTCGAGTTGCCGCGAGAAACGCGAGTGACCCTTGCGCAACTTCGTTCTGGATATTGTAGCAGGTTAAACTCCTACTTATCCAGAATAGACCCTGACATACCCAAAGTATGTCCTCCATGCAACGAGTCTCCGCATGACACTGACCACCTCTTTGCATGCCTAACTAACCCCACCCATTCCCTTTGGTCCGACCCCGTCGAAACAGCACGTTTCCTGGGCCTCCTGTTAGATGACATCGACGACAACACTGATAACCCTCAKCATCCCAACGGGGACTGATAACCGTTAAAACAACAACAACAAACAGGATTACGAGAATAGTTGAAATTCTACTGATTAAACTTGGTATGCGCGTCCCTTGCCCACAAAACGACATTATCCAAAAACATAAAAAGTGTTATAACTAAGTACTAAGTTAAGGTATAAAACTCTAAATCGGCACAGGGGATCGCAGTTGCAAGTTGCATATGTGGACAATATTTTTTTTAAGTGGGTGTGTCCCTGCCTTCTAATAATATCAATAACTAAAAACRCCAGAGACAATAAATCTTTACCCCTCAAAATGGTATGACCTTTAATGGGACAGGGGTCAAAATTGGATGTTGGGCGTTGCACCGCTTACTTTTGGGAGGAATCACATGTCCCGAGACCTGCCCGACCAATTCCAAAAAAATTTGGTACGTGACATTCCTCTGACATTTATAAAAATGGGGGAAATCGGGTTACAGCCACGCCTGCTTCGCATATAACGCGATTTTAAATTTCATTTTATAGTTTAACTTTCCAGTATAAAAATCAAAAATAAATTAATATACCAGGACAAGACTTTGTGCGAATAGCGCATTTGTGATGGGCCACATTACGACTAAAAATAGGTCCCGGGATAAAAGCGTACCAAACAAATCTACATTCACATTTATAATATAATATTAGTGTGCTCTATGGATATTATAAAGAAGTGACCACACCATACATACAGGTCCTTTCATTAGGGCTTCTGTACCCTCGACTTGAACGTAATTAAATCTAAATCCTCGTATTAATAAAATAATTGGTTTAAAAATCAAATATAATTTACAACAGTTTTCATGTTTAAAAATTAAATATTTCAGCCAAATTTTAAATATGGCGCGGTGCCCAAAGTAGTCGTGGGTGTGATAATAGGATATTTCGTAGGAAAATTTAGTTACCAGCAAAAGTGCGCGGAAAAGCTAATGCGGTTACCTAATTCAAAACTGGGAGAACTGTTAAGCCAACGTCAACGTGATGGAAGCGTTATTAGTAGGCTTAATCCAGATCAAGGTATTGGTATAGGACTAACATTATCACCATTTAATTCAACTGGAACAAGTGACGAACAAATCCAAGAACTCCCTCGTGCTAGTGCCCTCAATTTAGATTTGGAAAACCGTCCTTCAATTACTGGCCTTGACGACATTTATCGCCCCTCATTAGATAGTAAGTTGTTATTTGTTATATATTGTATGATTAATTATTAACTTTGTATATATTTAGATACACCTTTCTACGAAACGCAATTGCCTATCAAAGCTAAACAAAGCATAAGTTAAGAAGAGTTACGAAAAAAAAATCGGGAAGAATATGAGAAAAAGCACGACACATTTTCCCGGCCTCTGCCCGAAAATGCACCAATAGTTATTCGGGAGAATGAAGCCATTAAAACGACTTTTGGAGCCGATTCTAGTCACAAAAATAAATATGGAGATACATGGACGGATTAGTTATATTTGTCTGCTAAAAAAGTATTTTTTTTTTTTATTAAAGTGTTAATGCTGATATATATATATACATATGTATACTGGATAATTGTTAAATTTTGTGATGTTTGTGTTTCATTAGATGCATTGATTTTTTAGATTTATTCCAGTTTTCCAACTTCGTAAAGGTAAGCTCCGAGAAGTTTAGTCTAAAAGTAATCCGAATTAAACATATATAGAAACATGGAAATTCTACTTACTCCTTCTATATAGTTGTAAATATCTATTTTTTCATTTTGTGAATGGGCCCCATCATCACAAGCGCCTACAGGGACTAATATAACGCGTTTGCCAGTGGCCTCTTGAAGTGTTAGTGTCACAGGTATAGACCCACCTTCTCGTGTCATATCAGGCTCCGTTTTGTATACATGTTTGATTGCACTTTTGGCTGCCTCATAATGAGGATGGTTAGGATCTTCASTCCAAGGTTTGCCACTACTTACAAGGTTGACCTTTTAAGAGGATTATAAATATTAATGAGAATATATACAAATTATTTGGGTATAAAATAATTACCTTCATTTTGTTTGGAGATCCTCGTTCCTGCCATTTCTCATTTAAATATTTGGTAACGCACTCAGTGATATGTTCTGGATCTTGATTCGGAACTAAACGTATAGAGAATTTTCCTATGACTTTAGCTGGTATGACAGTTTTTGCGCCATGCTCATAAAAGGCACCTTCTATTCCATGAATGGAAAGACTTGGATAACGCCATCTGTGCATCAATAATTTGGTTTTGTCTTCATTGTGAGGTAGACTACGWGCTCCAATATCATTTCTGGAAATATAAACGTTACTCGTTTATATAAATAARTACAAAGACTACAGAGTGTATGTTCGTAGTTTCTTTTCAAATTTATTCCTCAAACTTCATTTGTAAGTATTTATTTAGTGCGGTTTAGSAATATAAATTCAGACACACAATATATATTTCGTATTCAACATGGGGAAAAAATTAAATCTTTAAAATTACTGCGCCCTATTCCCGTTGTCGTTTAAAACGAAATAACAATGGCTATTTGATATTTCTGTRGGTGTCTCGACATTTATCGAAAATTAATTCGTATTCCCCATTTTGAAACGAATATAGAACGACATATAACAGTCGTTTTTTGCCAATGTAATAATTGAGAGCGATATAGAAACGAGCGCGATTATCTGAAGTGAATAAGGTTTAAAGAAAGAGAATACCAASGAATGACTCTGGGACTTTAGAATTCAAGACAGAATTGATTAGCTGTCAGAATTGCAAACGAATCCTGATTTTCAWTGGTATCACAGAATCTATTTGGATTTTCGGCATACGCGAAACCAATATTCGAATCAGCTGTTTACTAATGTGGCAAAACTTGCAAATGTATTTATTTCGAAGCAATAGTGTTTAAAGTTTTTAATGAGTCTCGATTTAAAGGAAGATTTTAAGAGATAACACTTACCGAATGAATAAAAATGCATTTGGGTGTTAAATTATGTTTTTTAAATCTTCTTTAATTAAACAATTTTTTTTTTTCAAAAACTCAATTATTAAAGCATTTCGTGTTTTATTCTTATGTTTTCCCCTATAGAACTAAAGATAAATTAATTCGATACAATAAAATAAYTTGATTTCTTAACATACATTTCAAATCTGTCAGCGGCTATCTTCTTGCCCACCCAAAACCGATACAGAATCTGTTTCGAACATCAAACCAATAATATCTGAATTCAYGACACCTACTACTTTTTTTTATCGGTACAAATCTGATGCCGACAACAATCAGATTCCACAACACCCCTGTATAAGTAGTATAAGTATATACATATGTAGTATTAACGTGCCGTATAGTAATAAAATGTTTCCAGGTACCATTAAGGTACCTCACATACAATCGCCAATCATATGGAGTAAAGTCAGCCGGGTGTTCGAAAAACTTAATATTAGTTATATTAAGATTAGGTAAATTTTTCCCCAATTTTATCCATTATAGACACAAGCTAAACGCGCTGTTTTATTTTCATTGAGATATAGTAACTCACTTATTGGCTGATGCGCGCGGTTTAAAGACTCCCGGAAGTTTGGAAACTTTGTATTGGGTATACGGACCGAATTTCACCCATTTTTGGCACACAGCCATAACAACGGGTGATCCAAGTAGGGGTACTTTTTCAACAGCCTTTTTTTGACAAATTTCGCGTGAGTTGTGTCAAGCTGACATGTTATTTTTGTTCAGTATTGTTTGGCATTTCATTATGGAAAGTCTTACGCCTAAACAAAGTTTACAAATCGTTCAACTTTATTACGAAAATATACCTTCTGTAAAGTATGTGCTCCGCGCGCTTCGTTAAATTTATGATCAATATAATCGGCCTACTGAGCGTACTATTCTCAACCCCATCACCCTTCTTGAGACCCAGCGTTCATTATGGGGACGTTCGAGCAAGCAAATAACTGCGACAATATTGGGACAGTGTTGTTTTTCTGCAGATACTCAGCTTATACTTATATTGGAACATTTTTGCGTCGAAAATGATGCCTTGCAATACTGCCGCAGTGATTGAGACTCGAACATCCCCTATTAAATAATATTCTATCGAATAGACCACGTCCAGCTCGTAGTGAAGGAAATATAGCACTCGTAGCTGAAAGTGTACACGAAGAGCGTAGACATGGAACGATTTGGCGCATTCGAGATCTTCAATTGAGAGCGAACAAAAAAAAATTGTGCAAGAACTGAAGCCGATCGACATTCCCAATTTTGATGATGGGACGAACAGCAACCTGAAAATATTCAAGTGCTGCCATTTCATTCAGAAAAACAACGATTTGATGTAGTTTGTGGCCGGTGGAATCATCAGTCCACGTTTCTTCAAAAATGATGCCGGTAAGAATTTGGTTGAAATCGGTCGAGCAGGTTCCGAGATATGTAATTTTAACTCTCATGTGATCACGCTTCTAGTAGTTTTTAACAGTACCGCTATATGGAGAATAGGCGAGGTTAACATACAATTTCATCCTCCACAACCACTACAGCTAAAACAACCAAATTTGCACAAATCTTATAAGAACTTCTRCCGACAGAGTGGAAATGGATGAAATCGGAGAACAATCCTCATTCCTCATATAACGGTATAGTTAAAATTACTAAAAGTGCGATGAATCAAAAACTAAATACGCCAGAAGCATTAAATTTTACCTCCGAGATGATATGAGAAAGCTTTATGGGAGCCGGAGAGAAAATGCTTTCTTTCGATTATTACTAATGTAGTGGGGAACTTAAAATAATCGTATTGCGATGATTACTTTACATAAGTGTGCAAAAGTCAAGTAAAATGTATGAACTTCTAAAAAAATTTAATATTTCGAGAATATTTGTTCACAGCAGTATTGATCGTTTTTCCCAAACGTCTACAATTAAGTGGTCGTCCTGGTGTGGTTCCATGCAGAAACTGTTCAGAAACGCATTTGSAGAAAACCCATGCAAACGACTTCAGCTGGCAAGCGGTAAACGGCCATGAAAGTGTGCTGTTTATATAACAAGTAATTTTAAGTATTAAAGATCTTTTTAATAAGCAAAACGACGCACATATCCTATCGAATATCCCAAAACAGGTGTGTGAAAGTATTCGATTAGGCGTGTTTCCCTGCTATCAATTTACGACTAAGTAAGCCTCAAAAGTTCTTATTCATTAAATAATTAGATAAATATTATTAGAAGCAGCGTTAGAGCAGTTAGTACACTTGCGTGGGAATTTGAATTGTGGATGACTATTGGCGTAGAACACAGCCCTGAGTTTACATCTTTGAAAACCTTTCGTGTAATTTGTAAGAATTCAATAATTACAATTATAAATATATATAATAAAATTAAAGAATATTTTACAATCGAAAAGCATTATTTAAAAACAAAATCTATTATTTTTTATTATTTGCATCGATTTTGGAAAATTATAAATAAAATAAGATATTCAATGTATTCACACTCCTAAATTCGCAAATGATCTACAGCAATTGCCTGATTTTAATACACGCTCGCTGGTCTGTATATATACATAATAGCGTACTTTTATTTCTATTTTGAATTATCTTTCACTTGGGAGAGAATTTAAGAAACTTCCGACCAGGTAAGATTGTAAACTGCTACTTCCTAAATTCGTTTTCTTTTCTACTTGTATATAAAATTGTTTGGTTTATATTTTTTTTTTCTCTTTTGACATTTCCTCTCAGTGAGGTTTGCCATTTCATCAAGGAAAGATTTACGATAACGATTCGAAATTTTTAAAATTTACTACTGAAAATCGGGGTGAGTGGTTTCAACTTTAAGAGCGCTACGTCCAATTTATGGTCGTCATAATCGTCCTGGCAAAACAACAAACGAGCGTCTAGTGGAAAAATTTTAATTCACAGGTACACTAAAAATGTTCCCGTGCCAGTGAGACAAGAAGTGCCCGTAGTGTCGAGAATATTGCTACCGCTATCGCATCAATTGGAAGACAAATATCAGTTTCTCACACGTCGTTCTCAAGTTGTGATGCTCTGTTATAACCTGATATTTTTGGCCCTGATATGGACTTGGCCAATGTTGGGTTCTAACACAACGCCGCCACAAGCCTCACGGTGAATGTCACAATCGTTCAAAACCAAGTTTAATGAGCGTGTTATCTTACGAAATGGCCCAGTCAATTGGCGCCTCGGTCGTGCGAGTTGATGTCGTTAGACTATTTTAATTTAGGGGCTATGTCAAGTCTTTGGTCTATGCCAACACTTCGTACGAATATCGATCGTGAAACGCAGTAGTAACGTATCAAAATTGGATTCAGAGTTTAGACTTCTGCAAGCCATGTTAAAAAAATTCGATCTCTATACATAATAGCATCGAAAGTCCTTTATAAGAATAAATAATTTCATTATTTTGTTAAGTTTTATTATAAAAAAAACTTTTGTAGCGCTCTTATTGATAACCTCGTTAATTAAGAATTAAAGAAAAAAATTATAATTTACACTTATTCGCGTTTCTGTACTTCGTGTTCTACCATTTTGAACTAGAGCTCACGCAGAGGCATAGCCTTCATTATTCTTCCGATTAATTGATAATTTTTACTATTAATTTTTAATTCAAGGTGTCTCTGTTTAATCATCGGAAGTTAAAGTGTTAATTTTTAAATAAAAATGTAATATTTTTTAAAATAAAAACTAAAAATGTAATATTCAGAATGATGAATTGAAATAGAAAATATAAATTTTAATCCCATTGGATATTTAAAAACTTCGCAACCCTGATAGCCTGGGATAATGTCATGCCCAGGCCTCAATGTATAGGTGTTCCACAACAGCCATCAAGTTCCTATAATTTTGTTGTTGTAACGGCAGAAAACATTCCTGATGTAATTACTAGGCATGTGCCGAGTTGAAGGTCCTTAACCGGATATAAGTCCCGTTCCCGTTCCTTAAACCCGACTGTCGTGGGAACGGTAGATCTTATAATATTAAATTTCGATACGACTGAAGGTTCGTATTACACTAAAGCCTAGTGGCTTGAGGATTATTTTGCTGCTTTGTGCTTTGGCAGTAAGCGCGGTTGTAATTTTGTTCAGTATTAGTTGACATTTCTTCATGGAAAGACTTACACCTGAAACGTTTACAAATCGTTCCATTTTATTACGAAAATGCTTTGCTCAACTTATAGTTTCCATAATTGGCCTACTGAGCGTACTATCACACATCACTCGTTAATGTATAATATTCGAATTGAGCACGATATACATACACTGATGAAAATATAGCAGCCGTAGTTGAAAGTT